AATGTAATGCAATGCAATGTAATGTAGTGTAGTGTAATGTAATGTAATGTAATGTAATGTAATGTAATGTAATGTAATGTAGTGTAGTGAAGTGTAGTGTAGTGTAGTGTAGTGTAGTGTAGTGTAGTGTAGTGTAGTGTAATGTAATGTAATGTAATGTAATGTAATGTAATGTAATGTAATGTAAGGTATATATATACACACACACACACATATATATATATATGGATATTTATTTGTATAAATATAAATGTAAATATATATATATACACCAAATGTTCATACGTATATATGTATGTATGTATACAAATTTATATACATATATATGTATACATGTATGTGTATATGTATATATATATATATACACATATGTGTGCTCTGTATGTTTTTGTACACATAGCATATGTATCATTCGAGGTAGGCTTGGGTAAAGAATTCTTGGGCTCATCCTCTCCTGCTCCCAGGCGGTGCTGATGATGATCATGGGCGGGCGCTTTGCCAAAACAGGGAAGCCCATGCCAGCGGGTTTGGTGGCGCTTTTGAGTGCTGCAGGGCTGTTCTTCAATGTTTGGAAACTGAAGCAGTAGTTAGCTTGTGACGGCACTGCCCGTCGGCGTGCGAGCACATGGAGCAAACAGGTCGTCGGTTGGAGTTGTGCCTGATGCATTTGCAACCGCATTGCCAACATGTGGCGACCGTTTAAGTTCCATTACCCTGATCCAGGTTCGGTTGATGTGTGACATGTTGCGCCAAACTTCGGTCGAGTCGTGCACCGCAACATATCATGTGCACAGCTGCATATCTTGCCAGGTCCTGTGAGAAGCAGCTATTGAATCAGTGTTTGTGCATGAAAGTCATATGAAAGCAGGAAGTAGCATGATCAATGCGCGAGCATTCCAACACACACAGGAGGACAACAAATGCCAGCGTCCCGATGGCGTCATGGGAAGGCCGAAAGTTATGTGTATGTCAGCTGGTCCAATGTAAAAGTGTGTCGTGTTCAATTTTGTTACGCGGCTGTGCAATGCAGCTCCTGCGTCAGGTCACGTGTTGTGCGTGTCGGCGGCCATCTAAGAAGACGGCTGTTTTCATGCGGCAGGTCTTCAGTGCTTCAGTATGGAAGCATGAAAAACCCTTTCAGGTGGAGTGGACATGGGGCCATGGAAACTTGGGGGTGTGCCTCACCAGGGCCACCGAGTCTCCCGGAGGCTGGATGCAGAAAACCTTCCACCACAGCTGTAGGTTTTGAGCAACAGCGCTGATCAGATAGAAAAGCTCTCGGACAGAGTTACTCGCGTCCTTGGGCGGAATCCGAGGCCAAAGCTTGGGATTTTTGCTGGGCCGAATCACCTCGTGAGACGTTACAAATGCTCTGCAACGGTCTGCCTGCGCAAGTCCGTTCTCCTTAACGGGGACAAACTTGTATTTGGCCAATGCCCCAGCTCTGCGTGACGTTGCTGGACAGGGGGCAAATGATTCGCGCCGTGTTAGCTTAAGAGATTGGTCGTGCGTGAGTGAGGTTGGGACGGGCAGCAGCCGGATCCTCATCGATGCGGGTGAGGGCAAAGCCGGAGTGCTACAGGCCAAGCAGTGTTGCGAGTACTGTCATGAGATACTATATCGGAGAACAGGAACATCAAAGGGGTGTGCGCCAGAAACCCATCTGGCATGCAAGATGCCAGGACTTGATAGACGTCATGGCCCAGCAGGGCTGCCACCATGTTTCGCAAGTAGTCTTGCCCTCATCTTATTTGATGATGCTGGCATGTGATCGGACGGCAATAATGGCTTGATATGGCCTGCAGAAAAGGTCATAACGCATTGGCACATCGATCATTTGCTGGGAGTGCACGTCCCAGCCCTTTCTGTGAACGGTATCAGCTGGGGTTATTCTGAGTTGTTCAAGTGGGACAGTGCTGTGTTTCTTTGTGCAATTCGTTTTTTGCGAGGAGTTGTGTCTCGGGTTCTCATCAGCCTGGTGCAGTGTGGCTCTGTGGTTTGCGATAACTTGTTTTGTTTGTTTCGGTTCTGATTCTCGACACAATGTGAAAAGCAGCAATTAAGCCAAAAGGTGCCAGAACTGATGGACCACTTCGGCTCCGATATGCAGATTCGCAAGTACATGCCCAGTGAGGCGAGGTTGCTTTTGCCCGTCCACTTTTGTGCTTAGCCTTTGCTTCCCCAAGCAAGGGCACATCTGTGGGCGAAGTCGGCAACGCGGAGAGTGAGTGGAGTCCTGTGGAGCTACTGCGAGGGCCCTGTAATGCCCTGCTGTCGCTGGGGAAGACTGGGCGGCATGTTTCAGGAGCATTTCAGTTGCTTGTGATACTTGTTTTTCCATGGAAGCTCCAAGCAGCTGGTTGGGACGTTGTTCATGGAACGAGTACTCCTTGGGTGGTGCACTGAAAGGCTGATCGACTTTAGACTTGTAGTTCTTGGCGAGTAGCAGTGCAGAGCCAATTCCAATGACTCCAGGCCGGATTTTCCGGTAATCATGTTCAACGGGTCGAGCAATGTGCCTGCCACGGGTGCCGCGTGGCCTGACCAGAGCACGGCATATGCAGCAGGCGACTCCAATTCAATCAGATCCGGTGCGTTCGAGTAGAAAGAGGACAGAAAGATGAGTTGCAGTTCCGAAGAGTTGAGATGAGGGTTGCATGGGCTGAGCTGGTTTGTTCGGGGGGATGTCGGGCCGCTGTTCTGCAAGTTGCACTTGAACGGAGCCAGGTAGTGAGCATGAAGAGTGGCAATCCTGGTGGGATCCAAATGCTGGAGGTTCTTTTGAATCATGGCAGGCACTGGAGCAGTGGTTGGTGTCCTTGACAGTGCTTGATGCTACAACGCATGCTGTGTTCATGCTTGCATGGCTCCGGCAGCATGAGGCAGAATCCGATTGGTACAAGTGGTCACACATGCCTCAGAACCCTGCGGAGCAATTCGCAGACGCTTGCCTTCGGTTCTTTACTACTTTGCCAAGATGCAAAGCAACACACCAGGTTTCAACACTTGTACCTAAGGAAGAGAGGCGTCGGCATGGTCAGGGCAGAGGGGGGGATCCTTGGAACAGAATTCCAGCGCGTGGATGTGTACCGCTTCAGAATTAGAACCACCCCCAGAAGTTTCATGGCAAATGCAAGTTGGAATAGCAGAAGCTAAGGAGGCAACAGATGTTGTTGCGTTGAGCCTGTTGAAGCAGCTTCAGCAGGACGAGGAAGGTCATGTCAGGGCCAAGGCTGGCAGGACACAGTAGTTAGCAGCTTTCTGGATGCAAGGACTTTGACCGCTGCCGTTCATTGCTGGCTAACCTTTTTGCTAACCTGAAATAGACCTTTCAAAGGATGACCTTCCCTGTTTGCAGGCTCAGCCATCGGAAGATCAGGTCCTTGCTGGCCAGATGGAGTCAGCCGTGGTTCCTCTCACCAGATTTAGTGGTGCTTCCCGGAGTCCAGTGTGTTGTGATAGTATTCAGGCAGCATCATGAGCGCATGTCGTCACTGCAGCCGCAGTCATAGTAACCATACTCGTGCTGCTGCTTCCTGCTTGCTGCTTGCTGCTTGTTGCTGCTGCTGCTGCTGCTGCTGGTGTTGTGGTTGTTGTGGTGTGTGGTGGTGGTCGTAGTAGTGGTGGTGGCGGTGTGGGCAGCACCGGCACCAGCAGCGGCAGTGGCGGCGGCGGCCGCGGCGGCAACACGCACTAGAGAGCATGAGGACAACACTGGACCATCGTGGATCCCGATACATAAGACAAGGAAAGGCAATTACATGCCAGAAATTGATTCAAGCTAACCTGCCTTAGGATTAAACAAAGCCGAACCTCTAAACGAATCGCGCCTGCTCGTTGCATCGACACCCATGCTTACGCAAAGATGCTACTCTTGTGGCCATGCCAGGCTGCTTTCTTGGCAGGGGAAGGCTTCGAGGACGAGAGCGAGGATGAGCAACAAGAAGCGGAAAGGACATCCTGTAATAGAGAGGGAGCACGGGCAGCGGCAGGTATTTTGCTTTGCCATCACTGGCAGGATAGAAAGGGAAGCGTTGGACCTTGTAGCGCCGTTCTCGGAAATCGTAGTGAAGCGCTAGTAGACATGTAGGTATGCGGTGACTTTTTCGCAAATCCAAGATTCGAGGCAGGCATAGATGGACAGCTTTCAGCAGAAGCAGTTCCATTTGCGCCTGGGCTGTTTTGCGATTCGAGTGACTTGGTGGTCTTCTTTTTCTTGTTTAGGCCAGTTTAGGTGGGTCAACATCGGGGTTTCAGTTCACCATTTCGGTGGGGATAGGGGTTTAAAAGAAATTAAATCAGGATCAAAAAAAAATTAAATCAGGATCAAAAAAAAATTAAATCAGGATCAACAAAAAGCTAAACGGGCATGAGCAATAGTCGTAGTAGTAGTAGTAGTAGTAGTAGTAGTAGTGGTAGTAGTAGTAGTAGTAGTAGTAGTAGTGG